CATATACCCTGGGGCTGAACTCCTTTGAGTCTCAGTTCCCTCACCTGTCAATGGAGATAGGAATACTTTCCTCACCGAGGTGGTATTAAAAGATAATGCATGGAAAGTGCTGGTATACAGTAGGCAATAGAAAGATTGGGGAGCTCCGCTGTGGACATTGCAGGTTGCCTTCCAAATTTCCTTTTCTTCCTCCTTCCTAGAAGAACCTCACTTTGGTCCAGGCATCTTTCCCTCTTAAATGAAAAAACTCAGACTCAGACAGCCTATGTGGCATTTCTGAGGTCTCACAAAGTAGGTAAGCCTAAGAGGTCTTTGAACTCACGTCTTCAGACTGCCAGCCCATTGTTCTTTCCAATACCTCTCCTTTTTTCAAGAATTCGTGCGTTTATCCAAAACAACAAAATACCAGAACTTAGAAGTTCTATTTTTTTTTTTTTTTGAGACGGAATCTCGCTTTGTCGTCCAGGCTAGAGTGCAGTGGCACGATCTCGGCTCACTGCAAGCTCCACTTCCCGGGTTCACGCCATTCTCCTGCCTCTGCCTCCCAAGTAGCTGGGACTACAGGCGCCCGCCACCACACCCGACTAATTTTTTGTATTTTTAGTAGAGACAGGGTTTAACCGTGTTAGCCAGGATGGTCTCGATCTCCTGACCTCATGATCTGCCTGCCTCGGCCTCCCAAAGTGCTAGGATTACAGGCGTGAGCCACTGCGCCCGGCCAGAAGTTCTAAACTGTAGTCCACTCCTCCCCAAGTGTGTGATCCAAGCATGAGACAAAAGCCACAAAGGTTTTTCTTTTTTCTTTTTTTCAGTGGCACAGTCTCGGCTCACTGCAACCTCTGCCTCCAGGTTCAGGCGATTTTCCTGCCTCAGCCTCCCAAGTAGCTGGGATTACAGGCACCCAACCACCATGCCCGGCTAATTTTTGTCTTTTTAGTAGAGACAGGTTTTCACCATGTTGGCCAGGCTGGTCTCGAACTCCTGACCTCGGGTGATCCGCCCACCTTGGCCTCCCAGAGTGCTGCGATTACAGGCATGAGTCACCATGCCTGGCCAAAAGCCACAAAGGATTTTACAACCTTACCTTGGAAGTTGCACTTTTCTGTGACCTTCTACTGGTCACACAAACCAATCCTGATAGAATGGAGAAGGGGACCACACAAGGGCCTGAATACCAGGAGGTTACGGTGACTGGAGGCATCTTTGGACACTGACTACCACAAGTACCTTCACATGATTTGAAAATAGTTTTGACATTATGAATCTCTCAAAAGGGCTTGGAGATTCCAAAGGGACCATGAACCATGCTTTGAGATCATCAATTTACATTATGCTACTATTGAAGATGATTTGATCTCCCTTTTGCAGATTCGTCTGTTTGTCAGATATTACTTGAAAAACAAGTAAACCCTGAGGGTAGAGAGACTCTTAATCTACTCAGTATTTTGCCCCTGACAAGGCCAGAGTGAGGGTCCTGGAAGACCAGTGCAGTTGTCCTCCAGGACAGACTTCATAGCGTCACACGGTCGTTCACAACTTCTCATTATGGATTTTTGCATCTATGGATTTATCTTAAATGTTCTATAATATTTTCAATCTGAACCACTTTGTTGGCTAATTTGTTCCAAAAATTACCTGTATTTAGTGATAAGTTCTTTGATTTGTCCTAAAAGACCTTGGTTAAGTGTTCCTGAGACAGGTGTGGTGGTGTCTGTGTGCTAAGACTTGGAAAAATACTCCCATGTACAACTCATCCAAACATCCTCTGTGACTTCTGAGACATTAACTTGGTTCCCTTCCATTAGAGTCCTGATATTTTTAGCATGAGATACGGTTGTGCTGTGCACCCCTGGTCACATTGGCTGCCTCCTCTGGGATTTCTCCTCCCACTCTATTCTTGTCAAGACCCTGGCTAGCAAAACTTCAGCACATAGCCTGCTTTCAGCTACACTGAAGTTTATACTGGGACAGGACAATAGTGTTCCATTTTCAAAGTGTGTTACAATAACTCTCCAAGTCCAGTGGACAATTGAGTTATCTCTCCGGCTTCCTTTTCCCCTTCTTAGAGCAGACACCCCCTCCCCCGGCCATTCCTCTCCCTCATTCTTTGAGGTTTTGGTTGAGCTGCCAATCCACCCATCTCGGCCTCCCAGAGTGCTGGGATTACAGGTGTGAGTCGCCATGCCCAGACAAAAGCCACAAAGGTTTTTACAACTAAAGTTGCCTCTTTAGTCAAAGTGATTAGTCTAGGGAAGGGTAAATATCCAGACTGGGCCTGCCAGCATCTGGAGTTGTTTTCAGGGAAAGCCAAATAGGAAAGTACTTTTGCCTTGAGAATTTGGAGTCAGAGAGCTGGAAGAAGGAGGCTGGAGCAGCCTGCAACCATGTTTCCCACTGGGGCATTCAGTAGGTGAAAATGTAGCCAAACAAAACGCCAAGAATAAGACAAATACTGATGAGAGTTTGAGTCTCTGGATTAACCCCTGACTGAGGCTAGTTCCAGCGCCTTTTGGTATGTCTCAGTCAATGCAGTAGTGTTAGGTTTTTGTTTTTTTGAGATGGAATGCAGTGGCGCGATCTCAGCTCACTGCAACCTTTGCCTCGTGGGTTCCTGCAATTCTCCTGCCTTAGCCTCCCGAGTAGCTGGGATTACAGGCGCACGCCACCATGGCCGGCTAATTTTAGTATTTTTAGTAGAGATAGGGTTTCACTATATTGGTCAGGCTGGTCTCGAACTCCTGACCTCAGGTGATCCACCCACCTCGGCCTCCCAGTGTTGGGATTACAGGAGTGAGCCACCATGCCCAGCCTAGGCGTCTACCATTTAATCATTGAAAGGGCCTTCCCACAATTGACTCTTTGGGCCATAATTATATTGGGAGAGATCTGCTCTCCGCAGGAGCATGTGTTGAGAGAAAATAACAGAGGGCTGAGAATGCAGTGAAGATCTAGAAAGAGGATGAAGAAGGGGCTGGCCAGCCAAAAGCAGGTGAACCAAGGAGCAGCAACTCATGGAAGCAGACAATGTAGGAGTTTTAACTGGGTGGTGGGAAACACAGTTCCATGGACTTCATGGGAGTATAATTGGAACTTTTGGGAAGGCAATTTGGAAATCTCTTAAGGTTTGAAATGTTCCTGCTCTATGAGCCAATAATTCTACTCAAAGCAGCATTGTTTGTTGTGGTAAAAAGCTGGCAATAACCTCAAATACTTGCATCATCAATAGAGGATGGGTTAAGTAAGTTATGGAAACACATCCAAGTTCTACCAAAGGAAAGTAAAAGTGTATGAGACTACATAAAGCATTTTAGAGACATGTGTGTTTAGTATGTGTAGAGAAGCAAGCTGGGAGGACCATATATTGGAGTGATCTCTGTGAGGAGTGTTATTACGCAGAACTTTCACTTTCTATGTTTGTATGAAACCAGCATAATATGAAAGATTAATTCGTTGTTTCTGCCACTGTAAGAAAATGGTTTCCCTTCTTTCATTGTTGGTAGAACATATTCTGAGTTCTAGGATCTCTGGTCTCAAGGGCTTCTTTATCCGTTTGTTTGATCAACAAAGGATTGAGTGCCACATTAGACTCTCTTCTTGGTACCAGGCATATATTAGCAAAGCAGAGTCACTAACCCCACCAAATTTACAGGATTGCTTGTGAAGACAAATCTCAGATGGTGGTAAGTGTTATGGAGAAACAGAGCAGGAAGAGGGGGATGGAACGCAGTGGGTGGGGACACTAGTTTCCTAAATGTATGTAAAGTAGTCACAGAAAGCCCCATTGAGAAGACAACAGGAAGACCTAAAGGAGGAAGAAAACCATGCAGCTCTTGGGGAAAGGGCCTTCCAGGGGATTGCAAACATGAAGACCCTAAACCTCAAATGTGCTTAATGAGTCTGAGGCCACAAAGAGGGCGGTGTGGCTGGAATGAAGGAGATAATTCAGGGGTCAGGGGGAGGGGAGGAGCAGTATGTCTACGGACTTGCCATTGTACCACATTAGCGAGATGAGAAGCCACTAGAGGGTTTTGGACCAACGTTTAGATGATCACTCTGGTTGCTCTGTCTAGACAAGACTAGAGGGGGCAAGAGCAGAAGCAGGGAAGCCAGTTAGAAAGTTATTGCAATGATCCAGGTGAGAGAAAACGGCTTGGGCTATGATGGTAGAAGTGGTTGGCTTCTAAAAGTAGTTAGGGGGTAAGCTGACGGATTTGTTGGAGACAAGGGTTCATAGGGCCTGTGATTCAGGGCCTAGTGTTAAAGACTGTCAGACCCTTGAAAGAAGAGACTGTTAGGCCCCTCTCCTACACCTGTTTGAGGCCCAGGTACACCGAGTTACTCCAGAGGCAGCATTGCAAACTGGTGCATTTAGTTGGAGGTGGAGGACAGAACCCAGGGAGAAAGGGTAGAGGCGTGAGCTTTCCTATTAGGGGACAGATCCGTGCCTTGTGTACAGCAGACCCCATCCCAGACTAAGATGGCGGTAGTTGTAGCCATGGGATGCCAGGGGAGACTGCATGCCTAGTGCCTTAACACATTTGGTTTGGAGGAGAAAAAGGACAGATTGCATTTTCGCCCACCCATACCAAGAGAGGACTCACAGCCAGATTAATTTTATTTAGAAAAACAAAGTGCTATGTCATTTCCCATACCCATGTTTTATACAGCAAATCTAGACCCGTTATACATATTTTATAATGTTTTACTTTTGTTTTTAAAGACATTTGTGCATTACTTTTGTTATCAGAACAAATACAAACATATTTTAGAAATAATGGCAAAATGGTCAACAGTAATCAATCAATTCAGAGGGTCAGGAGTTTGGTTATTCAGAAAAAAGTAAGGTAAGAAGTGGTGTCTTCAAGGAGGTGGCAGAAGGCAGATGGTAAATGATTAAGAATGGAAAGGACGGTATGAGAAATTGAAGCAGTGAATTTAAGCCTCATTTGAGAAGCTTGACAAAGGAAGGAAAGAAACAATGAATGACCAGAACAAACATATGCCACGCAATTCTGAATAAAGTTTATTAAATAATATGTACAGCAAATGTAGTAATTCAACACATCTATTTATCAAATCAATCCACTGCAATGAAGAAAAATAAACGAACAGAAAAATCTATGTCTGCATAGGACATGCTCTCAGTGTGTAATTTAAATGGCAATACTTTAAATTAATTGGTTATATATGTCAGTTATTTTTCTTTCAGAATATAATCTTTTTTGTAGTAACCTATTCTAGCAATAGGACTTAATATGACTGCAGATAAATAGGACTGCAAAAACCAAAAAACCAAAATAATGAAATTAAAAAGGAAAAAAACTATAACTGAGATCATAGTTACCTTCCCTCCCCAATAGAATAATTATCGTAAATTTTAACACTTTACAATGGCTATTTTTGTGCTAAAAATCTGTAGGTGAGTTATTTGGAATTCCTTCATTTAAATAAAAATGCAAAAAACTTCATGACTTCCTTACTTTACCCCCTTCCATTCAAATTTTTAAAATTATTTTTCTATACAAGGTAGGTACATGGGCTATACAAAGTTAAATATACATATTTACAGTCCCACTTCCTAAGCACATGATGTTTTTTTTTTTCTTTTACTGATCCCAGAGAGACTGCAAAAGATAAGGAGTTTGGGGCTTGCCTTTACCCGGAAGCATGGCTAATATATCAAAATGTGTTGCAAGGCATGCCGCCAGTTAGTAGCACTTGCTATTAATAAACCTGTATAAACATTTCAGCATAAAAATAGGTACTTTATATTACTAAATGTCTGAAGACAAAAGAGCAATTGGAAACCTCTGTTCCTTGTTTCATCATACATAGGAAGGCGACGTGATGCAAATTTTAACACATGATTTCATTAAAGACGGGCAAATTGGTGAGGCATACCTGAATTTCTGGAGATATACAAATGCGTGAGGCTGGCATCATATGCAAATGTGGCTTTACAAATTGGTTTTATTTTCTAGCTGTATTTAAAGAGGTGTTCAAAATTACCTACTTAATCAAGAAGCACCCCTCAAAAAACTATTAGATAAGATAGTGTTATTAATCGTTTGCATCTAAAGACCAGGAAATACATTAGCCAATACATTCCAAAATCGGTGAAATGCTGCCGTGCAAATTGCACGTGCATATGCATTTTTACTATATTCCCTCAGAGACAGTAAAAAAAAAAAAAAAAAAACAACAACAACAACAACAACAACAACAAACCAGTGCTCTTAGATGGTGGAGCAGACCTTCCAAAGCAATACGTCTTACTCTTACTGGGTCTTAAGGAAAATCAGGACGTCTCCTTCTACCCAGAAAGCTCACCCCCTCCAGGGCCATAGCCTTTTCCCTTGGGATTAAGGCCCTGCTCTGTCATACTTAAAAACAAATGTCTGTGGGAAGAGGTAACTCATTCCTATTATCAATCACTTACACTTCAGTGTGAATGAATTAGTGGCAGTTTCTTTCCTGAGAACAGGATTTGAAAGAACAATAGGGAGAAAGTGAGGGTACTGCGGCTGTCTGGTGGAGGGTGGGAAGCTGGTGGGATCCTAAGATGGGTATTTGTGACAGCAGCTGAGCCACAGGCATTGAAAACAAATTTTGCCTACCTGTAAGGACTCTAGACTTTGGGACAATGGTCCTGGGGTAATTCTGAGCTATATGCAGACAGCCAGGGCTTCCTGTATACAACCCTACCGCCTATAATTGTTACTCCTATTTGTGAGCTTGGATGTGTATCTGTGGGGGAAGATGACAGTTTGGAGACTCTGGAAAATATTCCAGGTATTTCCAGCTATGAACTACCCTCAGACAAAGGTTCTTCCAGCACCCTAGTTGTTTAAAAGTGAGCTAATGGAGATGGGAAATATGACAATGCTTTCTAGGATTCCTCCAGGGAAAATTCATCTCTTCCTCCCTCACGCCCTTCTCAGCACTTATCACAGTCTCTCTTGATTAAGTTCATTTTCCTGTGTCTGCCTCCCCAATCACCTCGAGTTCCTGGTGGGCAGGGAATGGGTCATTTCTGCATTTGTCTCACTCGGGGGTCTAAGAGAGGCCGATAAACGTCCTTGAGTTGGACAGAGCTGTGACCACGCACCCCAGGTGTCACAGGAGCCTCTCTCTTCTGATCTGGCCCCCACAAAGAACAGACGTCCTGGTTGCTGCTGGTAGTGGCAGAATTGCTGCTTCAGTCTGAAGAGAAGCTTTGCCAGGGTGTACTCAGATTCACAACCCTGGTTACTACATTTTGTGTGATCCTTGAACTCCTACAGGGAGTAGATCTGGAGCCACAGCAAACCCTGGGCATGTCTTGCTTTTGGTTGTCCCCCCAGCAGCCAGCGTATATTGCTGTATGTTAAATGAATGAATGAACATCATTTTTGGTTTTCTATGAGAATAGGCCTCCCAATTCCAAACTGTCCCAGGCAAACACAAGCCAGAAAAGAAAGGTTAGCAACAGTGCTCTGAAAAATGCAGCTGCGCTGTCCTGAAGGTAACCATTTCTAAAAGCCAAGGATACGGGAAAAGAATGAACCACAAGTGGCCTCCAGAGCCACAGGGCTTCCTGACTTCATCACTCAGAAAACAGACATAACCTATCTGCTTGGCCATCTGCTCCCCAGTTCTCATGGGCAAACCTTGTGTGCTTTTCTGTCTGAACACCAGGGCAGTCAACGGCACTGCTACACAGCAGGCTGAATGCAGTGGGTGCCTAAGTTTTGCCTCCGTTTCCCCATCCACACCTCAGCAGGTTGAGTGAGGGATTTGGTCTTGGGGCAGTTTGGGGGACTCCACCTTTGTCTAGGGGACAGTATTGGCAGCCCAGACTGACCTCCAGCAGTTAGAGGATCAGCTGGCTCCAGGGGAGCTGGGAAATGTAGGCTGGGGGTCTTGGTGCATCCTTGGGCTTGAAGCCTTCAGGATCAATGATTCCTTTGAGATGGAAGCTCTCTAAGGCTGGGGCAGGAGGAGGCATTTCTGGCTAACTCTGATCCCAGACTATGCTTCAGGTCAGATTACCCAAGAGGTGGAGGGGAGGGGAAAGGCTGGAGTGGCTCCCAGAAGCGGCTAAATAAATACAATTTGTCTCAATTCTTCTTGTTCAGCACACTAGTTCAGCCCTGTCTAATACACAGTAACCTTAGACAGGCTTGGGTTTTAAACACAACACTTCTCTGTCCCTGTCTTTTGCTTCTTACTTTATCCACTGTATTAATTTTCCTACTGACTCAACTAAAAAGATCGGTTCATGAATGATGCTTCATCCTCCAATAAAAATAATCTCCATGGTTTTCAGTCTTCTTATAGATACAAAGGTTTTACATAGTTGCCTGGAAAAGTACCAAACTGCCTTGTCCTTCTTGAAGTACCTATAAAAAAGCACACACATACGAAACGTGAGAAGACCCACTCACTTGAGTTGAGACAGCACGCTGCAGGGATGTCTGCTCAAACGCCCCTTGTCAACAGTCCTGCAGCTTAGAGAACACCATATGGTTTCCAAAGTCCTTTCCCCTATCTTGTCTCACTTAGGCTGCCAAATAATGCTGGGTGGTAAGCAATGTAGGCATTTCTAGTACTCTTGTTTTTCAGAAGAAGGAACCCAGGTTCAGAGGGTGGAAGTAACATGTCTGAGGTCCCACCGCTTAGTAAGTATCAGAGGCAGAATCTGAACCGAGGTCTTCTGACTCCCAGTCCATTGCTCTTTCCAACACTTCTGCTTTGTGGAGGAATTCACACATTTATCTGACACAAGAAGATACCTGGGATTTAGATTTTCTAAACCATGCAGTTTCTGAAAGCCCACTGACTATGGCCACCCACCAAAAGGAAATTCCTATCAAGCTTGTGCCTAAGCCCCCAGTTGAGTCCCTATCTTTGGTACTAACCTTGTTACGGCTCCTGCTAAGCCAGGAGCACTGAGCCATCTGGGAACAAAGCCCTTCCTGGGCTGCTCCACAGGCAGCACTGCTGATCCTTAATCTAGTTCCTTCCCTTGGGATTCTCTCTCTAAAGCAGGAGTGGCAGATATATGTTGTGTCATCATTATCCTCTCTTTAGCAGATATCCCAATTTGATAATTGCACCCTTATCACAATTGGCTTAGATTTGGCTTCGGAATCCTGTTGCACACAACATCTCAAGCAGCCACTACTAGTGGGTTGGAATTAGTACCCAAAGTGAAACTTCTAAGCTAAAAAAAATATATTAAAGCTTAGGACACCTAAAACATCTAGTTGAACTCCTACGGAGAATGGCTAAGAAGGCTAGAGAACTGAGATGGTAATGTCCAGAGATAATAAGAAACTTGCCTAGGGCCACATAGCTAGTTAGCATCTTTCCTTATGGATGAGAAAAATGAGTTCTGCTAGGCTACTTTATTTGTAGTTTGAAAACGCTACTTTTCGAAGTGACCAAGGAGGCTGGGCAGGGTGGCTCACGCCTGCAATTCCAGCACTTTGGGAGGCTGAGGCAGGCAGATCACTTGAGGTCAGAAGTTTGAGACCAGCCTGGCCAAGATGGTAAAACCCCATCTCCATTAAAAATATAAAAATTAGCTAGGCGTGGTGATGCTGACCTGTAGTCCCAGCTACTTGGGAGGCTGACCCAGGAGAATTGCTTGAACCTGGGAGGCAGAGCCTGCAGTGAGCCAAGTTCATGCCACTGTACTTGAGCCTGGGTGACAAACCAAGACTCTATCTCAAAAAAAGAAAAAAAAAAAAAAAGAGTGAAGAGTTCAAGGATGCAAGGAAGATACTCATCCCAAAATACTTCCTTTACCCAGCTGCCTGGCAGGCCTTTGTTAGAGAACTGGTGCTCCTTCCCACACCTAAGTTCTCATTAAAAAAACATACTGCTGAACGAGTTTAACAGCTAGTGCGTACTAGCGCTGCACTCTCTAAAATGATAGCCATGTGTGACTACTGAGCACTTGAAATGCAGCTAGTCTGAAACGAGCGGCGCTGTTAACTATAAAATACACATTGGGTTTCAAAGACTTAGTATGAAAAGATGTCTGTAAAATAACTCACTAACAATTTTTAATATTGATTACATGTTCAGATGATAGCATTTTGAATGCACTGGGTTTACAAAATACATTAGAATTAATTTCACTGGTTTCTTTTTACTCTTTTCCATGTGGCTCCTAGAACATTTTAAATTTCATACACAGCTTACACTGTGTTTCTATTGGATTGTGCTGCCCTGGAGTGGTCATTGACTTCTCAGACCTGATTTCTTTTTTTTTTTTTTGAGACGGAGTCTCGCTTTGCCACCCAGGCTGGAGTGCAGCCGCGCGATCTTGGCTCACTGCAAGCTCCGCCTCCCAGGTTCACGCCATTCTCCTGCCTCAGCCTCCCAGTAGCTGGGACAAAGGTGCCCGCCACCACGCCCGGCTAATTTTTTGTATTTTTAATAGAGACGGGGTTTCACCGTGTTAGCCAGGATGGTCTCAATCTCCTGACCTCGTGATCCACCCGCCTCGGCCTCCCAAAGTGCTGGGATTACAGGCGTGAGCCCCCGCGCCCGGCCTCAGACCTGATTTCTAATGAACAGACGACTCAAGGTAGTGAGGGCTGTGGGCTTCTGTGGACCTTGGGAGGATGGGGTAGTTCTCTAAGAGGCTGGTGAGCACAAAGTAAATCTTTCTGACTTCTCATTCATGTTGAGGTCTTGCTGTCCTCACCACCCCAGTCCTGATATTACTTTGCTTTAACAAAGCTTTGCCAGAAAAATCAGGGAAGGGCTGGTCTTTGGAAAGAAGATGAAGGTAAAGTCACTTCTATGGGGAGAAACTGAGGCAAAGAGTGGGTCAATATCTCCCAACATTATATGCATGCCTGAGCAGAAAGAACACAGATTTCAGGAGAGATGGGTGGCCTGAGTTCAAATCCTGACCCCACTATTTGCTACCTTGGTGATCTTCTTGTTCGGGCCTCAGTTTTTGAATCTGATAAATGAGGATAATTCTTATCTTACTGGGCTGTTTGTTGAGAGAACGTCAATAAAAGCATAACAAACACAGTGTCTGGTTTGTAACAGAATCTCAATAAGTTTGATCTCTCTCCTTCTTATACAGGCAAATCCTTTAATTAAGCAGGCTGCTTTGATTAATACTACTGAAAGCCTGGAGGAAACAAGGTCTTTAGAATGTCTACACATATGCCTGAGTTTCATGGTGGAGACACAGGGTCAGTCAAAAATTTTCTTGTGTTATTTCACAAGGGTTTTAAAGATAAAATTTCCAGATGCAAAATAGACACATGCACAATATAAATGTAAGTGGAAACTAGGGCCAGGCGCAGTGGCTTACGCCTGTAATCCCAACACTTTGGGAGGTCGAGGCGGGTGGATCACCTGAGATCAGGAGTTCAAGACCAGCCTGACCAACAAGGTGAAACCCCATCTCTACCAAAAATACAAAAATTAGCCAAGCGTGGTAGCAGGTGCCTGTAGTCCCAGCTATTTGGGAGACTGAGACAGGAGAATTGCTTGAACCTGGGAGGCAGAGGTTGCAGTGAGCCAAGATCACGCCACTGCACTCCAGCCTGGGCGACAGAGCGAGATTCTGTCTCAATAAATAAATAAATAAAAATAAAAAAATAAAAAATAAATGGAAACCCAATTAATAAATTTGACTACTGCTCTTCTGTGCAGATTTGGTTTCAGGTTCAACATAAGCAACATCCACATCATCCTAATAGCAACACAGACTGGTGGCCCAGAATTCCCAAGGTTGTAAAAAGCTCAGAAGGCTCTTCTTTCTGTGCAGAGAAGATTGCTTTGCTTTTTGCATGGCTCTTCGCCCCCTGTTATTCCCTCAATACACAACTAGTAAGAAAAGCATGATGAGATTCTTACCAACAAACCATCCATCGTCACATTTTTCCATGACATCAACGATATCTCCATCGCGGAGTTCCAACTCATCATCATTCTGTGGTATATAGCTATATAATGCTTGATAGCTAAATCTATACATGAAAAAAATGAATAGTAAGTGACTCAAATGTTGACAGGATTAAATAATGAATTTTTAAACTCCATTTCAAGTTCAATCAACATTTCAGTAGTGTTTCCTACTTATCAGTAGGGATAAAAGCATTTTATTGACTATTTCCCTAATAACTTAGCATTTGCAGAGATGCATTCCACATATAAGTTAATTAAGGCTGATGGATGGAGAACTTCTGACAAGCAAGCCATGATCAGTCCTCTTAGCTTCATTTGGTCACCACAGCCAAGCCTTTTTATCTAGAGCACCTCCCACTCTACCCCGACCTCTGCATTTTTTTTTTTTTTTTTTTTTTCTGGCTCTGTCTCCCAGGCTGGAGTGCAGTGGGCGATCTCGGCTCACTGCAAGCTCCGCCTCCCAGGTTCACGCCATTCTCCTGCCTCAGCCTCCTGAGTAGCTAGGACTACAGGCGCCCGCCACCTCGCCTGGCTAACTTTTTGTATTTTTAGTAGAGACGGGGTTTCACCATGTTAGCCAAAATGGTCTTGATCTCCTGACCTCGTGATCCGCCCGCCTCGGCCTCCCAAAGTGCTGGGATTACAGGCGTGAGCCACCACGCCCGGCCAACCTCTGCCTTTAAAGCAGTGGTCCCCAACCTTTTAGGCACCAGGGACTGGTTTCGCGGGAGACAATTTTTCGACAGACGGGGTGAGGTCTGGGGGATGGTTTGGGGATGAAACTATCGGGACATTAGTTAGATTCTCATAAGGAGGGCGTAACCTGGATCCCTCATATGTGCAGTTCACAATAGGGTTCGTGCTCCTGTGAGAATCTAATGCACTGCTGATCTGACAGGAGGCAGAGCTCAGGTGCTAATGCCTGGGGATTGGGGACCCCTGCTTTAAAGTAAACCAAACCTTTTCCTTAACATAGGATAATCTATGTAGATTATGAAGCACAATCAGAAGTTATTTGGGCCCAGAGACATTATATTCTGGTCATACAAATGGAGAACATAAAACATTTGTTTTTTTAAAAAAGTGTGTGTGTATAATAGCCATATATAATACATATAATAGCTATATATATGCTATTAAAAGTACATTCCAATTGCTTCACTGTTTAGCAAAACCATCTTGAGTTTCTTTACATGCCTGAACACATTTCATTCACTGCTTTTAAATGTGGATGTCATTTTTCTGAAACCCTTGAAAGCTTTTTTTCTTTCTTCTATCCCAGTGAGCATTGAGGGCAAGATTTTTATTTACTTGCTAGTTGGCCTAAGGCATTGGGTCTATGCTGTTTTGTCTGTTCTAACAGCCACTGCAGACAGCTGAACTGCTTGTGGTGAAATCTGATCCTTGCTTTGGCATCAAGGAAAAGCTTTGTTTTTATTTATTTCTTCAACAAATACATAAGAGGCACCTACTATGCACCAACTTCACAACTCTGTTTATTATTTTGAGACACAACAGTAGCAGGCAAAACTGTAAATGGGCCAATCATCTACCATTTCCAGTAGATGTCAATGAATTCCAGTGTGCGAGCAAGAAAGACTAGAAACAAGCAAGTGGAGTCAGTTCCCAGGAACGAGAGGTTCATTCTTCTCTGCTAAAACCAAAGGGACAACTTTACTTTCCATATTTATCCAAACGTATTGATAATTTGGTGGATGGATCTGGTTGCCAGAAGGAAGGTCTCAAATGAGGAATTAAGAGATGAAGATCAATTTCCAATTGGTAAATACTTTTTTTTTTTTTTTTTCATGTTTCTGTATTTGCCTGCTGTCTCCTACTCAATTTGGAGTCCCCTACTGGCCTCCCAAAACATGCTCTTGCCAGTTTCTTAGAATGCCTGGGCCCTTTAACTCCCACCATGGCTGCTTTGCCAGCCTCAGCCCTGGGAAATAACTCCAATATCTGCTTCTCTGTTTTCACTCCCAGACAGTGGAGACTGGCTGGACAACGTCCCACACTCTTGTTGCTTGGGTCCCCCAGTCAGTTCTAATTTGGGATGAACCTCATACTCCTCAGAACATTGTCCCATGGGGTCCTTCCCCCAGCTCTCCTGCCAATCCTGGTGTCCCCAGCTCAGCCAAGAGCTCTCACTCTACCCCCACTTCTGGAGTTGGAAGCTTGCTGTGCGCAGCACCTTAATCCTCCTCCCCTCCAGATTTAAGTCTCTGTGCCTCCACTCACCTTCCTGCCTCTGCTCCCACACATGAGGAAAGAAAGGTCCCTTCTCCAAGCCATGTTGAACCCCCTTCCTGGGCTCTTCCTTCACTTACTTCTTTTTTTTTCCTTTTTGTTTTAGACAGAGTCTTGATCTATCTCTAGGCTGGAGTGCAATGGTGCAATCTCAGCTCACTGCAACCTCTGCCTCCCGAGTTCAAGCGATTCTCCTGCCTCAGCCTCCGGAGTAGCTGGGACTACAGGCGCGCACCACTACGCCCAGCTAATTTTTGTATTTTTAGTAGAGACAGGGTTTCACCATGTTGGCCAGGACAGTCTCGATCTCTTGTCCTCGTGATCCACCCACCTTGTCCTCCCAAAGTGCTGGGATTACAGCTGTGAGCACCTGGCCTCACTTAGATCTTATTTGCGTTAATTGACATTTTACTCTGGTACAAATGTGCTTGTCTCTGCACCCTAAAAACACCTCCCCTGCCTCTGCTATTTCCTTGATCTATAGCCCCCCGCCTTCCACTCACCATCGACCCTTCCTAACACAGCACCTGCTGCCACCCCTACTAACACCAACCCTGCCATATCAGAGGTCACCAGGGATTTTTCCAGTTGCCATGGAAAATGCCTGGTAGAAATTTCTCATTTCCCACTCTTGGCCTCTCTGGGCAGGTGACACTGCTGACCAGATGCTGCAGCTGTTCTGTGAAAGCGAACGTCTTTAGACCCTCACTGGCACCTCCTGTTGTCCCTTCTCTGTCTCTGTGGCTGGCTAGGCTTCTTTACCTCTATCTCTGTTGGTAATCATACTCACTTCGACGGTTACAAAATGCCCACTGTGTCCTGGCTCAGGCCCTCATGGCTTCTTAGCTGGATTGATGTCTTCTAACAAACATCTTTGTCCCTGGTCTATGAAATCTACCCTCCACTCTGTTGCCAGAGTTATCTCCCTAAAACAAAATATGATCAATATGTTCCTTACTTCAAAAACCTTCAGTGGCTCCCTAGTACCAACAGAATAAAATCCAAACTTACTTCAACTGCATTCTGGAATCTACCATCTGGTCCCATCCCACCTCTGGGCTTCATCTCTATCTCTTCCATGAAGCATATGCTGCAGCTACACAGGCCCTTTCAAGTTCTCCAAATACACCCACTCTATGCCCTTGCACATGTGGTCCTCACCTCTGGGAAGATATTTTCCTCCCTCTTCTAGCTCTCAGAAACCAATTTGTCTTTCAGTGCTTGGTCCAAATCTCTCTTTCTCTGTGCACAGAGTTTTCTCCTATGTGCTTAAAACATAGGAGGTATCCAATAATTTTTTATGAATGAATGAATGAAGCAACCCTTTCATTCATGGCTGGTCAGAATTAACCATTTCTTCCTCTAACTTCCTGCTACACTAGCACTGAAATCAGTCAGCACAGCTCTCATTTGCCATTCTACAGCAGTTAATCTTTACCTGTCTCTCTCTCCCAGCAGTCTATGATGGCCTTTATTTACCTGCCACCTGTTTTCACCTCGGCTGATGCGGAACATGTCCTTCACTAGAAACCCTTAGGAGAGAACCTGGGAGTAATTCACTCATTTCTGGAAACAACTGCCCCATATTCAGCCAGTGACCTGCTTTCTAAGACCAACAGTTCTCTGGGAACATGAGAACTGAAGTTCACCAGGAGTACTTACAAATCTTGTGAGGTTTGACTCCTGTCGGGGGTGACTCTTCGCTGCTGGGCTTGAGGTTGCTGAGAAATGATTAAAGATGATTTATTGTCAGAAGGGGATACCTTGTGATGAAAGTCAAGGGGATGAGAAACAGTGCTGCAGTAATGAACAGATTTTTCGGCAATGTTTATGATCTCATTGCAAACCGCTTCCTGTGAGGTGGCCCCAAGATATCCAGAAACCCCAATAAAACAGTCAACATGGGGACAAAAAAAAAGAAAGAGAGGAAGAGATGTAACATTCCAGACGAAGCACATAAGTCCAGGGAGAAAACAGAGTTGAAGATCCAGGTTAAAAAATAGATATTCCAGTAGTGGAGTGCAGGAGGGATCCAGGCGTAAGCATGGAAAAACAGGTAAGATACAGAAGAATTTGGAATTTAGTAAGAATATTAAAAAATAAAAATAAAAGGAAGCAGCATAAAAGCCTGTAATTAGTGAGTAACTGTTACAAATGGAATACTTTAGGGTAGAAATGCAAGTATGTATCCCCGATCATGCACTAATACATTAATGTAATCCCACATATAGGCAAAGTAGAAATATTGTCTATAAATTCCGCTGCTCTTTACCAGGGGCTGGGGGTAAGGGAGTGGCCTAACATCTCGTTCTACTATAATAGCCACAGAATTCTTGTAAATAATGTTTCTGTGGGTTAACCAGGCATCATTCTAGTCTAGATTCCAAAAGCAGGATCAGTAAAAATTCTCTTTGGAAAGGCTGCAGTCTTATTCAACAGGCATCTTACCACATAGCTCTTTTCAGATTCTGTGAGATCAGGTCCTGCTCTCAATGAATGATGAGAAAGCTGTGATCACCAAGCAAATTATAAGGGAGACATTTTAGCAGATGTCACATTGGAAAGGATTCAAAATAAAAGCATGAGCAAATCCACGTACCACACCATCACGCTTGGATGACACCGGATACTGGCGGCCTATGGCCACCAAGTCTCCACAACAACACGGTGGGTGCACAGAAGAAAACGCAAATGTAGAGTTAGAAGCAAGCATCCGGGAAATGAAATGGGAAACTGGAAACATGGCTGCAGTGAGGTGAGGATGAACAACACAGGGTCCCCAGATTGGTAGGAGAGAGACACAGAAAGGCCATCTTAGCCATGTCCCTTCACACATATTGGTCCCCTCACGCTCGGCTAGTAAGTATCTAGGGAAGGCTGCTGAACCCAAAGCCAGTTTTGGTTATTTTGTTGACAGGAAGGCCCCTCTAGCAGAGCAGGCCCGTAGAACCATCAGGTCTGCTGTATTTCAGAAACTTAGAAAAGGGAATAACATTTTGAAAACTTCCTTGGTAAGATTTGAAGTATCAACCAAGATCATTCCCCTGGAAAAATCTGCAAATGACACACTCCGGTGAGGTATGAGATGAGTTCAGATAGCTTGTAGGACAGAGCTTGCTTCCAGAAATAGGACTGTGTGTGACAAAACTGTCACTCTTCACTTACCAACCCAGGTACCACATGCTGACACAGAAACACATGGTCAAGCAGACCTGCCTTTTGAGTGGGGCTTCCATTGCAGGGGCCAGGCCTTCACTGGAAGAATGTTTAGAACCATGTCCCCCAGAGAGGATTCAGTTCTAAGCTCTAGGAAGTTTTTCTAAGTAAACACCCTGAAGAGCCAACCTTGAAAAAATCCTCCAGGTAACATGCAATAATAGCAACAGTTCGGCCAGGCATGGTGGCTCATGCCTGTAATCCCAGCACTTTGGGAGGCCAAGGCAGGAGGACTGCTTGAGCCTGGGAGTTGGAGACCAGCCTGGGCAACAAAGCAAAACCCCGTCTCTATGAAAAAAATACAAAAATTAGCCAGGTGTGGCAGCATATACCTGTAGTCCCAGCTGCTTGGGATCAACTGAGCCAGGGAGATTCAGGCTGCAGTGAGCCATGATTGCAACACTGCACTCCAGCCTGGGTGACAAAGCAAGACCCTGTCTCAAAAAAAAAAAAAAGCAATAGGCCACAATTCCAGGGCCTTCTAGACGCGCACTTAGAAATCTTTTGCGTATGACCCACTTGTTTCACAGAGAGACAGAGAGAGTGAGAGCCTCCCCTGAGGTTACACAGCAAGTCAGTGGTAGGCTTTTCTCCTGGCTTCATCTATTGTCCCATCTGACCTTGTCTTTCATCCTCAGACCATCTTCTACTTTATAGAGTGTGCTCATTGACCTCATCTTCAGTGAGTCCCTCAGAAACCCTGGAGTCAGGAAAGACAGGGTTTGTCATTGTTTTCTTTAACAACCAAGGAAGCTGATGCTCAAAGGGGTTTCGTGCATTCCTCAATATCACACAGCAAGTAAGAGGTAAAGTGGCTTCACTGCTCTTTCCCCTCCACCAGACCACCCACTCCTGTTCACCTCCACTGGAAATGTCTTCATCCATTAGCAAGCCCTGCAGGACTAACTTCCATTGCAGGCATCATTTCAATACCCCTGTCCTTTCAGGAAGCCTCTTCAAGTTCTCCAAACCCCCTCTAAACTGCAACCACTCAAACCAGTCACCCTGCACTCTGACAGGAGCAAAGGAAGAGGCAGAACTAAAGGGGCCATGTCATGCTCCTTCTGCAATGACTCTGGATGTTAGGTCTTTGCCGGGTGACTGGGAGCCGACCTCGTGTGGCTCCACTTACCACCCACACTCCACTCGCCGCCTCTGGATTAAGGTGTCCGTATCACAAAGGAAAGAAATGGACATTTCCAAGTAACTTCTATGTGGGCTTTCAGAAGAATGAAACTTACTCTGGGCACCTTGAGTGGGTGATAATGATATGCAGATTTTAACATGACAGAAGGGAGAACTTCCAAACAATCCAACAATACAAGGGGCTGCCACAAGAGGAAATGAGTTGGCTGCCATGGCAGCTGTTTAAGCTGAGGCTGCTGTAGACTCTAACTAATTGGGATATTGTAGAGCCATCCTTCTTAAACTTTAATGTATATATACATATCACTTGGGACCCTGTGAAAATGTAGACTCTGACTTGATACACCTGGACTGTATTGTGAAATTCTGCATTTCTACTTGGTAGTACTGAGGCTGCTGGTTCACAGATCAACTTTAGGCAGCAAGGGTGCAGAGGACCTCAACTGCCCTACACTGAGATTCTTTGGCTACAGTATGCCAAGACCGGTGGTCTGGGTCACACCTCATGAAAACAAAAGTTCTCATAAAAAATAAAATATTTCCAAATTCCAGCTGGTGGCCTCATGAGCTCAGGTCAAATGCAATACAAAAAAAAAGAGAGGATATAGACAATCTCTTGGCAAGATCTCCATAGCTTACAGAAACTTAGCATCCTTCCACTCAGCTTCACTCATCCCAAAGGAGTAACTGGAATCAATTATCTGGCAAACAATTTGGTGCTGAAAACAGGATAAGTGAATCAAATACAGTAAAAAGAACCTGATATTTTACAAGGATATATAGGTCCGTTACATACCTGACTTTTGTACTAACCCTCTGACTTGAGGAGTGCAGAATAAGGAATTTAAGGCTCAGAGGAGTTCCATCCCAGGCACTACTTTTTTTTTTTTTTTTGAGACGGAGTTTTGCTCTGTCACCCAGGCACAATCTGGGCTCACTGCAACCTCCGTTTCCCAGGTTCAAGCAATTCTCCTGCCTCAGCCTCCCAAGTAGCTGGGATTACAGGCGTGGGCCACCACATTCAGCTAATTTTTTTTTGTATTTTTAGTAGAGATGGGGTTTCACCATGTTGGTCAGGCTGGTCTCGAACTCCTGACCTCAAATGATCCACCCACCTCGGCCTCCCAAAGTGCTGGGATTACAGGTGTGAACCACTGTGCCCAGTCCCACTTCTATATTCCTGTCCTTTTGGGAAGAGTCTTTGAGTTCTCTAAACTCCTCCTAAACTGCAATCACTCAAACAAGTCACCTCAGACTCTGACAGAAGTAAAGGAAGGGACAAAATGAAAGGGCCCATTTCATGCTTCTTCCACAATGTCTCAGGACGTTAGGCCTTTGCCAGGTGGCTGGGACCTGACCTTGTGAGGTTTGCACAAAGTAGTGTGAGAGCTGAGCCCTTTGACGTCTAATCTCCATATACCACCTGCCACCTCCCTCTTGAATCATGATTAGATTGCTTGTGTAACCATGATAGCAATACCCAAGTTCTGCCTTGTCTGAAAACAGGCACTATCTATCATTTCTCTTCTTGAATACTTTTTACTCTAGGTGTTCAAAGACATTTCCTTATATAAAAGATACGGTGTATGGCAATAGCATCCAATCATTAATTGTGAACTATAGTACCAAAAGGGATACTGATGGCCCACCTTGTACCTTCCTTGGTCTCAGGCCATACCCCAAGCTAAGGATAATCATCATCATAGCTTTAACATCTGTATAGTACAAACTTAACCCCATTCCTGAGAGGCAGGGATGACTGAGTGCCTCACTTAGCATTTGTTGAATAAATGAAGGAAGAAGTCAAGATAAACATTTATTCTATTAGCTAAGACTCAATTTCTCTCTGTTTAGATTTCAGTGAAATAGCTTATATAACTGAAATGTAAACCAGTTTTGTTTTGTTTTTTTTTTCAGGGGATGGAGACACGGCATGGGGGTAGACCCTCAGTGGAAATGGAAACCATCACTATCCATCACAAGAATCAGCCCTTCATTTTGCAGGCTGTTATCCTCAGATTTTTTTTTCCCCTCTAGGTATGTTTTTTTTTTTCCTGTCCCCATTTTCTAACCACTTTACAGCTTTGCATAGTGCTTCTTCTGGACCTGTCCTGTCCAAGATGGTAGCCAGTAGCCACAGGTGGCTGTTGGACACTTGAGATGTAGCAAGTATGAAGTGAAATGTGTTATGTGTAAAAACAGACACTGGATTTCAAAAACTTAGTACAAAATAAAGAATGTACAATCTCAGTAATAATTTTTAGATATATTGGGTTATAATCTATTATTAAAATTTCAGTTGTTCCATTTTACTGTGTCTACTAGAACATTTTAAAATCACACATGTGGCTCACATTAT